TAATGAACTAAGCAAACCCTCTCCCGTCATACTCGCAAAGCAGCCCTTCTAGTTGACAGAGCAAAAGGTTTGGGCTAGGGAACTGGTAAGCCAGAGGAAATGAACTAGTTAAAAGATGGTATTAAGGGCCTGGCGGTGGTTGTGCACACCTTTAGGCCTTTAATGCCAGTAGTCGGGGGCAGAGGCAGGTGGATATCAGTGACCAGGCCAGCCTGGTCTAAAATGCAAGTTTCAGGACAGCCAGGCCTATTACACAGAGAAACTCTGTCTTGAAAAAAAAAAAAAAAAAGCATGAGGAATGATGGACCTACACTTCTTGCAAAACTAAGTTTCTTGAGTTTCTATATTGTATAATGACTGACTTTTGCCTTAAGAATCAGTTATGGAGGCACAGGATCAGCGTGTGTGTGTTTCCATGTGTAGGTGTGTCCATACGCTTGCACAGTGAAGAGCATCCCAGCATTCAGGGATCTGAGGAAGGCAGATTATGGAAAACCTGAAGCCAGCTTGTGAATCTTAGACCAGATACAGAAAGGAACCCCATCTCAAGGAAAGACAAAAGCCCACACAACAACAACAAAAGACTCCAAAAAACCAAACCAAATAAATCCACTACCAACAAATAATTTTTTTTGATAATGTTTTCAATGAAAACATTACAATAAACTAATTTCCTGGCTTGGTGATATGTGCCTTTAATCCTAGCAGTTTCTTTTATCACTTATTTATTTGGTTTTTCAAGACAAGAATTTGTCTATCTGTAGTCCTAGCTGTCCTGGAAATCACTCTGTAAACCAGGCTAGCCTCAAAATCAGACATGCTTGCGCAACTCTGCCACCCAAATTCTGGGATTAAAGGCGTGGGCCACCATCGCCTGGCTAATTCTAGCATTTAGAAGGCAAAAGCAGGTAGGTCTGAGGTCAAGACCAGCCTGGTCCAACCTAGTGATTTCCAGGCCAAGACATCTTTAGGAAACAAGAAACTAAAACCCACACTTGCATGCTGACCACAAATAAATAAATAAAACCTTAAAATCAAAGTTAAGGTGAATGTAATCAGAACATATTATTAAACATATATAAAGCTGTCAAAAAACAAATTGAAAAATACAACAAAGAAATTACAGGTTGGCTGGCCAAGTCGGTCTATCCTTCCAGAAAATACTCGTGGGTTTCCCAATGTGGCTAGCGCACAGCAATTTCTTCCTGGGCCTATCTGCGGCTCCTGAACCCCTGGCTTGCGGCTCAGGCTCCCCAAGTGGGGAGGGGAAGGGAGGGGGAGTGTAAAACAACTAGGTGCACCAGAGTTTTGTTTGAAACAGGATCTCAGGCGGTAGCCCAGGCTGCCTTGGCCTTCGGGATACTGAGACTGTAGGTGCTGCCACGCCTAGTCAGTGCACATGCTCTATGTCACATCCTTTCGGTGTAAGCTCCATCACCGGTTGTTTGAGGTAGCTGTTAAGTCTAAGGACGCACCTCCGCGAAACTTTGTAACCGCAGAGGTCCAGACAGGGACTCCAAGGGCAATTAAGCGCGCCTGAACCCAGCCCCGATGGAGTCTTTAATCGGCTGTGTGACCTTGGACACGCTCCACGCTCTCTCTGGGCTTCAGTTTCCGAATCCGCACGTTGGAAGGTGAACCACGTGGCCCTCACGGTGCTGCTCAGCGCAGAGCCCGGCAGAGAGCAGACCTCGCCATTTACGGCGGCTTCCTGTGGGCGCGGCACAGGGCTTTAACGGTCCCCCTCCCCGCACCCTCGCAACCCTCACTTTTATGGCCCCGCCGCCGGGGACCGCACTACGAGGAGACCACTTGGAGCGGCTCGCGCGCGCCTCCGCCCCGCCCCGGAGGCGTCCCGTCGTGCCCCGCGCTAGACTCTCAGCAGCACGGGGCGACTCCCGCCTTTACGCCCGGCGACCCCGAACTCCTCGCCCCAGGTCTCCCGGCGCCCCGTCCTATCAACGTCCAGTATCCCAGCCAATCGGGCGCGCTGCGAGTCTTACCTTCCGCCCGCCTCCTCCCCGCGCACAGCCGGTGTGAGCCCGAAGGCCTCTACCGGGACCGCCCAATCAGAAGCCCGCACTTACCTGCCCCACCCCGACGTCCCTCCCCTCGCCCAATGAGCGCGCCCCATTCGGCTGCCCGCCCAGCCAACCGGGCCTTGAAGCCCGCGAGCGAATAGGCGCGCGGCGGCCCTTCAACGCTAACCTTCTAGCCAATCGGGGAGTCCGCGTAGCCCCGGCAGCAGCCAATCGTTGTGCAGCGCGGTGCCGCCGCGGAGAGGTCCGGCAAGAATATCCCTCCGCCTCCCTCCCTCAATCTCTCTCCCTCCCAGAGATCCGCCTCTCACTTACTGCCGCCCTTCCTTCTTTCTCCCTCCGCCGCCTGAGCACCAGCCGCGCTCTGAGCTGCCCCCGGGGTCCCTCCCCCGCCGCCAGAGGAGCAGCTGCCGCCGCCTAACACATTAGGAGGGCGGAAGGAAGGAGAGTGGGGAGGAAGGGGAGACAGAGCGCCTG